GTGATCCTGTGCTACAAACAAGATTTCAGAGCATGAAGCACTACGTTGGGAAGTTATTTACAAGGGAAATATTCTTTATGTTTCGTGATATTCTTGCACGGTCCACAGAGATGGTAGTGGCAACATGAAATCAAACCTATACATGTTTTATATACATAATTTGCAAGTATCAAGCATCAAAAAGGGAGTGGAACGTATCATTCTATCATAATGATGACGTGTTTAAATGTTCTTGCAAGAAGATGGAATCATTTGACTTCCTGTGTGAGCATATTATTGCACTATTGATTTTTTTAGATGTCGCAGAATTGCCAAAGACTCTAGTGGCTGATCGATGACAAAGAACGCGAAGGAAGAAATATGTAGCACAAATAAGCATCTTCCAAGATACTGGGATTCATACAAGTCGTCAAGATATTGTGCTCTTATGTTTCGATATATGCGTTTGAGAAAATTAGGAAGTGAGAATGGTGATGATTTCAATAGCCATATGAAATAAGTTGCTGCTGATATCCGAAAGATGGAAGAAAAAAAGGGGCTTACATGATGGTGGAGCCACAAATTCAAGTGAAACTTTCCATGAGACATTGAAGGATCCTTCTCTAGCTAGAACTAAAGGATGTGTTGGGGAATCTTCAACATGTCAGAAAAAAGGAAGCGGACTCAATGTTCTACTTACAGAAAATTCGGGCATAATAAGCAAACATGTTCAATACCTCGACATCATACCAACACGACACATTCGTCAAACGGAGATTTTCACAACATTGAATTTAGTGATGACTCTTTAAGCAATTTCTTTAATGTTGTTATTTAATGGTATCATTGTTATGATTATGTAGTTATAACTATATATGGTTCTTGCAGTTGCATAACGATCTTGATTGAAGATAGAATAATATTAATCTAGAGCTTTCTGAACAACAACATCAAGAGCGTTCTGACCAACGTCCAAAGCTTCCCATCAACCATCAGCCTATGCAACCATAGTTATATTATGCTTTTATGTGATAATCAGATACTTGAAAATTAGACTGTCGTGATTATGGATATCAATTTTAGTTAGAATCACAAAGTTGTATGAATGTGTACTATTTAAGGTTATGCTTATTAGAATTTTGTTTGAAAGAGTATTTTGTTCATGATCTTTCAAGTAGTTATGCTTGGTGAGATTATATTGAAGATGTTGATACAACCTTTTCAGGTTACGAATACCATGATGATTTAGTTATATATTTAGTTAGTTGTATCCTATGATAGCTCTCAATTAGTATCTAGCATGTTCCTAAAGTCTTTCTTTCCAAGGGTTGGTTTGATTATTAGCAATCATAAATTGATATTAGAAATGGTTGGACTACTGATATCAACCTTTAGCATGACATACACATTCAATTTTGTGTGTTAGCATTGGAGAATTGGTCCCTATTAAATTTGGACTTTTCAAGTTTTGTCCCTTTTCAGAAAGTGTTCTTTTTCATATTAAACTCAGTGCTCTTTTTCATATTTGATGAATTTAGTTAAAGCTCATAGTTTCATAAAGAATTGTGGAAATATACCTTTATTCATTCCCCATTTTTGTTACTACAATTTTGATTCAGTGTTAGAGATTTAAATAGTGGTCGCTATAATGGTTCTTGTCAACCTGATACTTTTTCTGTACAAGCAGTTCTTGAAGGAAAAATATTTTATAGTTTTTGACATAATGTAACTATGGCTATTGAAATTTAATTGACTCATCCTATTTCTTGCATTGGCTGTATCAATCTTAGTATAGAAGTCATGTTATCAATAAGCTTGCAAGTGTTTTTGAGTGAAATTGGGTAGACGAATTGAGGAAAGTTTGTAGTTTGAAGATGTTAGAATGAGCATATAACATAATAGTTATTTTCTATTTCACATATCTAAAATGACATGGTTTAGTGATAGGGTCTTAAACAATGGTTCTTGTCAATGTATCATGGTCAAATGCGGTAGATGCGACCTTAAAACCATTGTGTCGTAGCACAAAAGCAAGAATAACCACGACACGATGGTTTTGAGGTCGCATCTACCGCATTTGACCATGATACATTGACAAGAACCATTGTTTAAGACCCTACCACTGAACCATGTCATTTTAGATATGTGAAATAGAAAATAACTATTATGTTATATGCTCATTTTAACATCTTCAAACTACAAACTTTCCTCAATTCGTCTACCCAATTTCACTCAAAAACACTTGCAAGCTTATTGATTACATGACTTCTATACTAAGATTGATACAGTCAATGGTTATTCTTGCTTTTGTGCTACGACACAATGGTTTTAAGGTCGCATCTACCGCATTTGACCATGATACATTGACAAGAACCATTGTTTAAGACCCTACCACTGAACCATGTCATTTTAGATATGTGAAATAGAAAATAACTATTATGTTATATGCTCATTTTAACATCTCCAAACTACAAACTTTCCTCAATTCGTCTACCCAATTTCACTCAAAAACGCTTGCAAGCTTATTGATTACATGACTTCTATACTAAGATTGATACAGTCAATGCAAGAAATTGGATGAGTCAATTCAATTTCAACAGCCATAGTTACATTATGTCAAAAACTATAAAAGATTTTTCCTTCAAGAACTGCTTGTACAGAAAAAGAATCAGGTTGACAAGAACCATTATAGCGACCACTGTTTAAATTCCTAACACTGAATCAAATTTGTAGTAACAAAAAAAGGGAATGAATAAAGGTATCTTTCCACGATTCTTTATGAAACCATGAGCATTAACTAAATTCATCAAATATGAAAAAGAGCAATGAGTTTAATATGAAAAATAACACTTTCTGAAAAGGGACAAAACTTGAAAAGTCCAAATTTAATAGGGACCAATTCTCCAATGCTAACACACAAAATTGAATGTGTATGTCATGCTAAAGGTTGATGTCAGTAGTCCAACCATTTCTAATATCAATTTATGATTGTTAATAATCAAACCAACCCTTGGAAAGAAAGACTTTAGGAACTTGTTAGAAACTAATTGAGAGCTATCATAGGATACAACTAACTAAACATATAACTAAATCATCATGGTATTTGTAAACTAAAAAGGTTGTATCAACATCTTCAATATAATCTCACCAAACATAACTACTTGAAAGATCATGAACAAAATACTCTTTCAAACAAAATTCTAATAAGCATAACCTTAAATAGTACACATTCACACAACTTTGTGGTTCTAACTAAAACTGATATCTATAATCACGACAGTCTAATTTTCAAGTATATGATTATCACATAAAAGCATAATCTAACTATGGTCGCATAGGCTGATGGCTGATGGGAAGCTCTAGACGTTGTTCAGAACGCTCTGGATGTCGTTGTTCGAAAAGCTCTAGATTAATATTGTTCTATCTTCAATCAAGATCGTTATGCAAACTGCAAGAACCATATATAATTATAACTATATAATTATAACAATGATACCATTAAATAACAACATTAAAGAAATTGCTTACAGAGTCGTCACTGAATTCAATGTTGTGAAAATCTCCGTTTGACGAATGTGTCGTATTAGCATGGTGTCGAGGTATTGAACATGTTTGCTTATTATGCCCGAATTTTCTGCAAGTAGAACGTTGAGTCTGCTTCCTTTTTTCTGATTGTTGAAGATTCCCCAACACATCCTTTAGTTCTAGCTAGAGCAGGATCCTTCAATTTCTCACGGACAGTTTCACTTGAATTTGTGGCTCCACCATCATGTAAGCCCCTTTTTTCTTCCATCTTTCGGATATCAGCAGCAGCTTGTTTCATATGGTTATGAAATCATCACCATTCTCACTTACTAATTTGCTCAAACGCATATATCAAAACATAAGAGCACAATATCTTGACGACTTTTATGAATCCCAGTATTTTGGAAGATGCTTATTTGTGCTACATATTTCTTCCTTCGCGTTCTTTGTCCATCGATCAGCCACTAGAGTCTTTGGCAATTCTGCGACATCTAAAAAGTTAATAGTGCAATATTATGCTCACATGGGAGGCCAAATGATTCCATCTTCTTGCAAGAACATTTAAACACGTCATTATTATGATAGAATGATATGTTCCACTCCCTTTTTAATGCTTGATACTTGCAAATTATGTATATAAAACATGTATAGGTTTGATTTCATGTTGCCACTACCATCTCTGCGGACCGTGCAAGAATATCACGAAACATAAAGAATATTTCCCATGTAAATAACTTCCCAGCGCAACGCTTCATGCTCTGAAATCTTTGTTGTAGCACAGGATCGCCGTAATTTGATGCAAAGTCAGCTTCGACCTCCTTATAGCGCATGTAATTAAGGCACCAGTGAAAATGTAATAAAATTTCAGTTAAATTATATCGTGAGTGAAGAAACTTCCCCATTTCTGAATGTAACCCCTCACACCGGGAGGTAGTTTTAAACCCAGCAAAAACATTTCCGCGTATATGAGTTGTAGCCCACATATTTCTCTTTGCATACAGTTCAGTTACCCACTTGTTGTCATGCAACCCAAATGTGTCAATCATGTCATCCCACTTGCGCCGAAACTCGCATAGGTCATAGTCACCCAACATGCATTTCCTAAACTGACTAATAAATTCAGGAACTCCAATGTTAGACATTGCATTGCGAATTAGATGCCAAGCACACAACTTATGATAAGCATTCGGAAACACCCTTTGTATTGCTTTCTTCATTGCAAGACCGCCATCAGTAATGACAGATATAGGCGAGTTACCTGAAATTGCTTCTAAAATTTGTTCAAGAACCCACACATATGTTTCTTCTTTTTCATTTGCAATAATAACACCACCAAATATAATATTATGATTATGGTTATTAACTCCAGAAAATATCACTAAGGGGCAGTGGTATTTGTTCGTCCAGTATGTTGCATCAAATGCCAACACATCACCAAAAACTTTGAAATCCATTTGGCTTATACCATCCCACCAAAAAAGATGTTCAAGCCTACCTTATCCATCAACAGTGTGGCGATAAAACATCATCGGGTCATCTGATGGCAGCCCACAAAGATGGTGTAAAACATTTTTACCATCACATTGTTGCAAAAGGCGTTGTTTTCCTATTTGATTATATATATCCTTCCTACGAAACCCTATTTTTTCATACCCTTCTGATTTGTTGGCAAAATAACCATAGAATTGAGACGGCCTTATACCAACCTTCAACATGTCGTTCATCTGCATTATATCTGACTCTTTCATTTTTCGATGTGAAGCAAGCATTCCATGGTACTCTTCATCTAAAAGCTCATGATTGTGTTGATCATTAAAAACTGTTGTCCACCAACGTTGTGAGACCATGTCTATATGCACTCGAAATTTTGCTTCACATCCACATCGACTCTCAAGTTTACACTCACGCTTACGATTTTCTATTGTTAAACCTTTATCCTCCTTAAACCTCTGTCTGTGACAAACAAATGTCCGCTGTAATATTTCTCCTTTCTTGCTTCGAAGGATCTTACTCTTGAGAATTGCAAACCCGTTCATTTTAGCATACTGGTTGTAAAACTCATAAGCCATGCCTAGACTTGGAAATTGAAATTTCCTTGTCTCATGGAGACTTTTAATCTTGTCAGGTTCATGCCAAGAATATCCTCCATGCTATCAATATTTATAATTTTTTCAATAGATTCTTCATCCTCAGCACTAATGTCATCAACAACAGTGGTCTCACATGTTGCTTCAGCAACTACTCTAGTTGATAAGTCTTCTAGTCCCTATCGCAATAAACAACATAGTTTTAACATAACTGCCAAAGTACAATAATACTAGTATTTAAAAATTTCTCCTTTTACCTCTGTTGCACCCTAAAATTTGCTCAACCTATTTCACTTGGTTTATGTTTCAATTGCATTAGCATTTGCATAGTAGACCATATACATAATTCATCTGCATAGCATAGCATAGTAAGTCATCCAACAAGGGACCAGGTACTATTCTTATCTCTATGAGCCTATCAGGAGGTTATTATTCAAATTCAATCTTAGTCAAGTCATCAGAAAGAAATTGAATTCTAAAGAAGTCATTGGACCAAGCAGTGGATCTCTCTCCTATCTTGAGTGTATTTGAAGATCATCAAAGAAGTTGTGAGCTGTGGATTGAGCATGGAGGGTATACAGACATCATAGAGGACCTAGAGAGTCATTTTGAATAAGAGGCAAGTCATTGATATGATCACAAGAGCTGCAGTTAAAGACAGTCAACTAGGGTTTCATCTGGGTCAACCCTAGGTCAAATGATTGATTGAAAGACATTAAGGTCTATTTGAGAGATGTGGGGTTCACCATTTGGCATGTAAATATGGATGTGGTGTTGTGCCAAGGTTAAATCAAGAGAAATCAAGAAGAAGAGGAGTTTCTAAATTAGGGTTTCTGTGTAAAATCCCCTGGTTTAGGTCAAACTTCCAAGCAAGATAATTCAAAATGAAAGCTTCAAATGGATCCTTGGCCAACATGAAACTTGTAGAGGATCTCAAGACCTTTAATTTGAGTGGTGGAAGACATCAAGGAGATTTATAGAACTCAAGTTATGGTCCTTGCAAGTTACAGGTCATCTGAGGCATCTGAAATTTTGTCTGTGAAAGTTACTTGTCTTCCAAGCAATTTTTACCCCTCAAGGAGATTTCAAATGGATTTCTGGTCAACATAAGTGTTGTTCCTCATTGTCTTAGCTTTCTAGAAAGGTATGGTATGCCTTCATTTGATTTGTGGAACTCTACTTATGGCCTTGGCAAGCAAAGGGTATTTTGGTCATTTGAGAATTACAGGTCATTTCAAGCCTATGCCCAAAACGCATACAAGGAAGCTTCAAATGAAAAACTTCACAACATCAAACTTGCTCCAAATGACATTTTGAGTCTAGAAAAGTGATCATGAAAGTTTGGAGATGCTCATAGCTCAAGGTTTCAAATTTGGTCATTTAAAAGATGAATTTAATGAATAAAAGTGACCTAAAAATGGGATTTTTCATAACATGGCCAAATGGGATGAAATTAAAGGTTATTTTGATTGGAAAAAATGTTTTAAGAACATTGGCAAAAGTAGATTTTTGAGTTTGTTTCAAAGTTTGGAAGTTATGCTAGTTGGCTTACAAAGGAAGTAACATATTCAAAATTCAAGGAAATTGTGCACAAGAAGTTTCTACCAAGTTCTAGAGTGTTCTATGAGTGTCTATATATTGAGTAGAGTGGCTTCATTCAAGGGTTGGTGATTCATTTTGATCAAAACACCAAGTTTCATCTCATTCTTCAACTTTGCAAATCACATAAGAACTCTATCAAATCTTCATCATTTTCCACACTTCTTGATCCTATCATCATCTACATCCATCATAGATCAAGTTTCCATCAAGATTTGGCTTAATTGAAGTAGAATTCGTGTTATCCAACTTCATCATCCCAAGTGCAAGAAGATTGTGATTGCAAGATCAAAGGCATTTGAGCAAGTGCTATTGCATACAGAACCAAGGATCAAGTCCAGAGCATTGCAAGCTTTGGATCCAAGGAATTCTGCATCTATTTTCATCTTTAAACCAGGTTGGTGTTTTCTTCGAATTGGCTAGAATTAGTTAGAATAATAGAGAATTATTAGGTTAGAATGGTTAGGAATGGTTAGATGAATGTTTCTGATGAATTTGAAGGCATTTCATGGAGTTCACCATTGGAGCACCAAAACTGTTGAGCCTTAGAACACCTAGGTTAGGGAATGATAATCTTGGTTAGATAGATAAAAATGATCAGCATAGCATGTAGATTGTATTAAGGTAAGAGTTAGCAAGAATTAGCAGGGTTGATATCAGTGTAAAATGGTGGAGCCAAGCCTTTATACCTATCGAGTTTGGTGCTGGGGTGAGTTTTAGAGAAAACCAAGGCCATGGTTGTGTAGAGGAGAAGAAATGGAGCGTTTTTGCTTTTTACAGATGTGAGTTTCATGGAGAAATGAAGGTGTAGGAGTATGTGGAATTCTGGTTCGCGCGAGCTGCATGCAGGGTTCATCAATGGTGGAAACCCTAATTCTGTGGAGAAGACACATGAGGATCGTTGGATCCTTCCCAAGACTTTGACTGAACCTATGATCTAACGGCCACGTTTCAAAGATGAATTTGGAGGGAAGCTGGGTGCCAAAGCGCACCGTTTCATTTAACCGTTCTGACTGGGCTTTAGTTGCACTGCATTTCACACCCCTAAACGCCAAGGCCCAACCAATTGAACTGATTTAATTACTAATTGCACCGTTCTGGTTTTTTTGTTTTTGTTTTTATTTTTCTGATCAACTGGGCCCAGACGCGCTTTGCTATGCGCGCCCCCCAGTCTGGGCCCATCATCTTTTTTTAACTGAAATAATTGTTGTTTGCACCCATAACCAATTTAATTCATTTTAATTTCACTCAATTTTTTTATTTCTTTGAAAAATCATAACAAATTGGAAATTGCATATTTTTAAATGGTTGTTTTTGCATCTTTTTCATATTTTTGTTAAGAAAATTGTCATATAATAAAATTAGCATTTCATTTTATTTTTGTATTTTTGGTACATTTTTATTTTAAATAGGTTTTAATTGATTTTAGGTTTATACATGATATTGTTGATTTTAGTTTAGCTAGACCCTTGTATATTTTGGACCCATTCTTTTTAGGGTATTTCACTTAGAACTTTAGCTTGTATATAAGATTTAATTCATGATTTTAGGACTTAATTTTAGATGGTTTGTTTAGGTGTGATTAGGAGGATCAAAACCAGGGTTTAGAGATAACATAGGTGTAGCAAATCATTTCTTTTAGGAGTTGTAGTTTGAATTTTGGGGTATGGGACTATAGGGGTATTATGGGTAGATAATAGATCCCTTAGAAATATTAGACTTCCCTTATTCTACTATTACTATTAGTATACTGCTTGTATTTGCTTGATTGTGTGGTGTGCCCTCTCTAGGGTTATTTTTAGACTGTGTGGGGTATTGGGTCTGCTTGGGGTTTGGGTTTGAGCTGAAGACTGTGCTGATGAAGCCCATTGGAGATCAAAGAGAATGAAGACCAATTTCCAGAGCTGATGAGGAGTATCTCTTGCTGGCAGCTGTTGAAGGTTATGGGATCTAGGAGTTAGGCAGAGCTCTAGAGTAGAAAACTTGGTTCACAATGTGGAAGGTCTTGGTTGCCTCCATCCCTCTCTATGATGCAGAGTCTCTCTAAGACATTCACCCCTTCCTTTGGAAGGCTTGGTGATAGTGTCTAAGAGATAGAACTCTTGAGAGAAATATTCTATGTGTTGTTAGCAGTCTGTTTGCCACCTTTGGTGGTCAACTAACTGCTTAACACCCCAGTTCATCTTGTTGACTGATACTCATCTTGGAGATTGAGACTTGAAGAAAAGCCCTGAAGACTGATGATAGAGACCTTGACTGAAGGCTTGAAGATTGAAGACAAAGACCTTGCTTGAAGGCTGTGAAGATAAAGATTGATGCATGCTTGAAGCTTGTAGCTGTTTGGAGATGACTTGAAGACAGATGTTGATGCAGAGCTGCTGTTGCTGTTTATTTTTGCTGTTTATAATTTTTGATGTATTGATTGAATTTCCCTGACTGTATTGCTTGCTGTTTAACCTGTTAGGTTGAAAGTGAATTCTGTTCACTTTTGCCTATTGTTTTCTAGGTTCGAGGTTGAGTGGGACTCCCTTGCCTCGCTTGTATTGCTGCATCCATGCATTTTACTGCTTTATTGTATATTTGCTATTATTTCTGTTTCCGTTTATCCCTTAGGATCTCTGTTTCTCTCTGTGCAAGAGAGGAGCTTGATAGACATTAGGTCTTAACCCATGCATGATAACATTAGGTTAGTTTCATTCCCTTTTCAACCGTAGGTTAGAGTTCTGTCTCTTCTTCCTCAAAACAAACAGAAAAACACAATAAATATTTCAAACACAATAAAAGGCACTTCTTCCGTAAAAGAATGTGAACTCAACAAAACGTCATTTTTATCCGCTTGGACCAGTAATCAGAAAAACCCTTTTTCAGAAGGAATAAAAACAATCAAAATAGACTTGTGTCGTACGTGGCCCGAACTACGTTTGCTCTGATCTTTCATGCTGTATGAAAGTACGTAGGCATAAGATGCGATATCCTAGCGAGCAACCTTCCCCTCCTTTCCCGTAGGTAGGCGAACTACGTTGACTCTGATTTCTCGTTCCAGACGGGAATACGTAGGCATAAAGTGCGATACTTTGCCGAGTCATTTTCTTTTCTTTTAACCCCATACCTGTAGAGTAGATAGAATAACAATCCGTACCCGAAAACAAGCGTGGATCCCGTCGAGTACGACGGACGTGAGGGGTGCTAATACCTTCCCCTTGCGTAACCGACTCCCAAATCCAGGTTTTGGTTGCGATGACCATACCTTTCCCGTTTTTTGCGAGGTTTACTTCGAGCGTTTCCTTTCCCTCCGTTGGGATAAATAACGCACGGTGGCGACTCTTCTGTTCAGCCGGCGCCGATTTTCGCAGTAGCGACAACCTCCATACTGCCTACAACTA